TTATATATATATATATCTCTCTACACACACAAATCTCCAGTAGGCCGGCTGACTCGCACTGATGTGCAGCAGATGTCCAATGCCAGCCAATCTTTGGCCGGGGTGCAGAAGCGAATGTTGTGTCTGGTGAATGCTACGGTGTCTACGCGGTTGATTGAAGCTGGTTCTTCCTTTGCTTGAAGCTGTATCTTCCTTTGCAAGAGATGTCAGTGGTAAGTAAGGTTGTCATACTGGGCTCAATCCTGATTGGAGGACCACACGGAGTGCCCTGCAACAGTAGATCTCAGCTTAGATCAGCAACAACGAAAGGAGGGCTGCCCCGGCAAGGAGACCGAAGAGCATCGCTGCTCTTCGATTCACCTTGGGCTTAGGGTTAGGGCTTAGGACTCAGGGCTTAGGGCTGAGGGCTTGGGGCTGAGGGTTTTTGACCTGAGTACTGAATCTTGGAATTCAAGGTTTGGTTCAGGGGATTCCCTTGAGCGTGTATGCGCGGGCTTTCAATTCGGGCATAGTCTTCTCGGTAAGTTCAATGAAGATGAAGGGTGTTGGCCACGAGTTCTTTCAAGGTCTATCGGCGACAGAACCACCCCTCCCCTCCGCCCCTCCCCACCAAATGACGAGCGCGAGTATCCTGAAAGCCCCTGGACCAGTGTTCAACACATCTTTGCCACCCCCTGTGAATCCCTAAGCCCTAAACCCTAAACCCTAAACAGGAGATTGGGTCGACAGCATACGCTGCGTGGCTGGCAATGACTGGAATGCAAGAACCCCCAAACCCGTAGATGCCCAAGACCAGGCCACTGGGGATCCTCAACCCCGAACCCTCAACATGGACCCTGGAACCGGAAACTCTGCACCCCAAACCCCCAAACCTGCAAACCCCTGATGCTGGACCCCTGAACACCCTAAGCCCTACTACAGGCCCTAAACCCGAAAATTCCCGAAACCCGAAAACTCAAAGTCTTGAACGAACCCCGAAAGCCAGGAACTGATGCCCTTAAGCCCCAAAACCCCTGACTAAACTCACACCTCTCCAGACCCCTATGACCCTAAACCCTCAACCACAAAACCCCTGCCAACCTCAATTACTAGACCCCTGAGGCTGCCAGACCTGAACCACACAAACCCTGGAAGACCCCAACAACCTTGAACCCCTAGGCACCGAACAAGCCTAACTCAAAACCCTACACCCTGCACCCTACACCCTGCACCCTAAACCCTAAACCCTAAACCCTAAACCCTAAACCCTAAACCCTAAACCCTAAACCTTGCCCTAAACCCTAGACCCTAGACCCTAGACCCTAGACTCTAGACCCTAGACCCTAGACCCTAAACCCTACACCCTAAACCCTAAACCCTAAACCCTACCAAGGCGGACGCTGGACCGCTGAAGCTCTGGCCTCCGACCAGCGCCAGCCTTGGCCGTCGCAGGAGCTTCGTGGTTTGGGGTTCAGGGTCTAGGGTTCAGGTTTAGGGTTTAGGGTTTAGGGTTTAGGGTTTAGGGTTTAGGGTTTAGGGTTTAGGGTGTAGGGTGTAGGGTGTAGGGTGTAGGGTGTAGGGTGCAGGGTGCAGGGTGTAGGGTTAGGGTTTGGGGCTTAGGGCTTAGGGCCTAGGGCTTAGGGTTTAGGGAACAATCGGGAAACAAATCAGAGGTGGTGTATTGGGCCATAGGGTTTGAGGTGACTGGGGGTGGACTGAGGGCTGCTGTTGACATTTTTTGGTGGGGGCTTTGGCACGCTGAGGCGGGTGCAGACCTTCGTTGGGGCTTGGGAAAGATTAAAGGTTGAAGCCTCAGGGAGTTAGGGTGAAGGGTGCGCAGGGTTTAGTGCGATTTAGGCTACCCCTGAATCGTCCTGATTCTGGCCATCGTTAAGGTCCCTTATGCAGGGCAGCCTAAAATCCTGGACATTGGCAGATGTGCTCTCGTGACTCTGCGCGCGGACTTGACTATGCTGGTTCGAGTCGAAGCTACGCCCTTCAAATCCGAGACCCACAGCATTCGGGAATTGGGTGACCCTCCCTGCCCCTTCAATTGAAACGGCCCAGCTGCACGAAAACCACGGGGAACTGCCCGTAGCCGGCTGAGAAACTGCAATGCAAGTGGCCGCAACAAGGAAGCAAGTTTTGGGATTAAGGTTTATATTTTAAACACATACAATTAAGCTTCTATAACAGTATCACAATGTCAAAATGTCAATATTTGTATGTGTGTATATATATATATCTACACACACGTTACAATGGCAGAAGTACATAGTAATCGTTCATACAACAGCACAAAAATATGAATACAAATAGTGTAATGCTATGATTAAGCATACAAGTACATACTTAATGTTCTAATAGGAACTTGAACGATAACGCAATAAGTTGTTTACTTAGTTACCTAATCATACAAGAATATTCGAAAAACACTTTTGTAATATAACCATGTTCGATTAGTATAACATAACGACATATTCATAGATTTTCATATACATATATGAATATCATAACAGAACAACACACCAACTAATAAAAAGTACATACGAAGAATCACATACATGATATTTTTGTAGTATAACTACATAACAAGCAATGTCTACTATTTTCACAAGTAATATCCTTATATTGCAATATATGTATATATATATATATACACATACGTACACAAGTCAGAACCCTTGAACCCTGCAGCCTTTTGTGCACATTCAAACCTGGCAGAAACCTGCAAGTGCATCCCAACAGCAGCAGCAGCAGCAGCAGGTGTAGTAGTAGTAGTAGTAGTAGTAGTAGTAGTAGTAGTAGTAGTAGTAGTAGTAGTAGTAGTAGTAGTAGTAGAAGTAGTAGTAGGAACGCGGCGCGTTCCCGCCCCTACGTTTTTCAGCACTTGCTCAGGCATTTCCTCTTCCTTGCGGGTTTGGGGGGGGGGGGGGGGGGGGGGATAAGAACATATTCATATTGCATCCACGCCCAAAACACTGGTATTTACAGCGTTTTCCCAGTTTGTACAACGTACCGTGCAAGGTTGTGGAACAAGACACGTTGTCACAAGCGTCCATGCCTTTTGCGACCATGCCCAAAACACTGGTGTTTACGCCCAAAACACTGGTATTTACAGCATTTCCGCCGCTTGTACAACATACTGCGGAAGGATGTGCAACAAGAAAAGCATTCACAAGTGTCCTTGCCTTTGGCGACCATGCCCAAAACACTGGTATTTACAGTGTTTTCTAAAAAAAAGCCACTGCCCTGATGACTTCCGGACATGCCCCTCCGCAAGCCGCCCTGCCATCATAATCCTGTTGCTGCCATCAAACTCCTATCTTACAAAACTTACCCAGTAGTGTGAGAGGGCCCTCCTCCAAATCACCGAAATGACTCTACTTCATGAATAACCCACGCCTGCCAGTGATTCCTGAACCCCCCTTCCCCAGAACATGCTTCCCGTTGTAGGGGCGTGAACACGCCGCGCACCTAGTAGTAGGTGACACGCCCTTAACTGATCACGGTGTTTTCTTGCGTTTTTCTTGTTTTTTTGCCTGCTTGGGGGCGGGGTGGGGGAGGGGGGTGGGGGGGGATAATAACGTCATTCATATTGCATGCCTAGAACACTGGTATTTACAGTGTTTTCGCTTCTTTCTGCAACATACTTGACAAGGAGGTGGAACAAGATACGTTGCCACAAGTCTCCATGCCTTTCGCGACCATGCCCAAAACACTGGTATTTGCGGTGTTTTTGCCTCTTTGTACAACATTCTGCACAAGGAGGGGGGGGGTCGTCATTCAGAGTGCATGCCTAAACACTGGTATTTACAGTGTTTTCGCTTCTTTCTGCAACATACTTGACAAGGAGGCGGAACAAGATACGTTGCCACAAGTCTCCATGAATTTCGCGACCATGCCCAAAAACACTGGTATTTGCGGCGTTTTTGCCTCTTTGTACAACACTCTGCACCAGGAGGGGGGGGAGGGGGGGGGGGGGGATAATAACGTCATTCATATTGCATGCCTAGAACACTGGTATTTACAGTGTTTTCGCCTCTTTCTGCAACATACTTGCCAAGGAGGTGGAACAAGATGCGTTGCCAGGCGAGAAAAACAGTGCAAGCCCGAAGCCCTCAACCTGAACCTTCAACTCCAAACCCAACCATTAAACAGTGCCAAAAAAAATAAGCCAACACCATGCGACACGCGCAAAACCCTGTAAATACCGATGCTTTCCTCTTTTCAGAGATTGCACCCGAAAGAGCTGTAACATAAAAGCACGCGTTTTTACAGCCAGAAAACACTGTAAATACCGATGTATTCCTCACGCGCCCTAAGTAGTTGCAAGCTGTTTCCGGAGATTTAAAAACCTGCATTTTTCACGTCCCAAAACGGACAAAGCCAGGAAACGCTGTAAATACCGATGTTTTCGTGTCTTCGCACGAAAAATGCACGCCCCGAAACCCCTGTGATCATTAGGAGCGTGACGCGTAGTAGTGGTAGTAGTAGTAGTAGTAGTAGTAGTAGTAGTAGTAGTAGTAGTAGTAGTAGTAGTAGTAGTAGTAGTAGTAGTAGTAGTAGTAGTCGTAGTAGTAGTAGTAGTAGTAGTAGTAGTAGTAGTAGTAGTAGTAGTAGTAGGATGATTGTTGAACCCCACATCGATCTTTATTCATCATGTCACATCCTACAAGCCCTGCAAGCCACAAACCCTAAGCTCTAAACCCTAAACCCTAAACCCAAAACCCTTGAAGTCCGCCGGTCCAGGAGCCCTACTTGCCACCCCAAACGCTGCAAGTTCGTAGGGAACAGCCTCTTAGGTTCATCTCAACCCCACATGTACATACATGTAGAGGCAGCTATGAGATCCCAATCGGGGGGGCTCTTGTCTGGGATCTTGTCTAGTAACTCACTCAGTACGAGGGGGAGGGGAACCTTGAACCGTAAAACCCCAAACCCAAAACCCAAAACCCTAAACCCTACACCCTGAAGCCTAAACCCTAAACCCTAAACCCTAACCCCTCCCCCTTTTAGCATCAGGGCCTGTAGCGCGAGGCGGTGCCACCATAGGTAAAGGCCTGAGCCTCAGGGGGCTCCGGCTCCTGCCACTCGCCTGCAGGCAAAAGAGCCTTTATAAGGGCTAGGGATGCACTTTTGGGCTCAGGATTTTTTTTTTTTTTTTTTTTGGGGGGGGGGGGGGGGGGTGGGGGGTTGAAGGGTTTAGGGTTCAAGGTTTGGGCTAAACGATTAAACCCTAAACTCCCTAAACCCGAAACCCTAAACCCTGAGTATCGGGGTCGGGGATGGTTCCTTGCTAGGGGGCTTTGGGGACTCTGAGGCCGGATACATACCATTCGGGGTTTCCGGGTATTCGGGATGCCCTTTCATTAGGGTTTGGGGTTTAGGGTTTAGGGTTATAACCTACAAATGAACTGACATCCCCCTCCCCCCTACCTCAAGGCTTCTGTAGGGATTACTTCGCTACCTGCAGGGCGTGGAGGGACGTTCTCGGCGCGCTGCTGATCCGTACCTGGAGGAGCGCGTCTCTCAGATGTAACGTGGCACGAGGTGTACACACAAGACTCGAGTACGGTTTAGCAGTTTGGGGAATGTAGGGTACAGGGCTTTGGGGGCTTGTAAAGCTTTACCGTCAAGAATGCCATAAGCCCTGTGCTTCCGACTTACTGTCTTGTCAGGTTGACTGCGTGGCGGCAGCGCAGTGCCTGCTGTTAGTACTGGCCGTTCAGTGTCATGCCGAGCATATGAGCTTACCCGCGCCACAAGAGACTTGAGCTCGTGTGTTTCAAGTTTCTCGCACGCAGATGGTCTTTGATGCCAATGGGGCCGCATACCTAGGGCCTGGCGGAAAAGGACTGTTCGTTCACACATGTGAAGCACGACAGCTACAAGAACGCTGCGGGACTACTTCAAATTGCCTAACACCTATATCCCTAAACCCTAAACCATAAACCCTAAACCCCACATCTCTAAGGGTACTTACATGGTCCCTTAATATGGTCCCTTACCTTCTCTACAGGGTTCTGAATTATGGGCCCTTGGGGTCCCCTTGTAAGGGCCCTTACTGAGGGACCATGTAGCTACCCCCAAGAATATCAGTAAACATCTTCAAACATCTCGCCACCTAAGCTCCCGACGGACACCCCTAAACCCTAAACCCTAAACCCTAAACCCCAAGCCCCAAACCCTAAACCCTAAACCCTAACCCCTCAACCCTCAACCCTATCCCAGCCAGAGTCGAACCAGTCCTGGCTGTCGAGCCTCAAAAAGAAATGCCACTGCAATTCCTGATTGCTGAAGAACCTCCCCAAGAATAACAACATCATTCCTTATCAAGGGCAAGATAGGGATTGTAAGCCCTTAACACGAAACCCCAAACACTAAACGCCATGTTCTTTTGTTTTTTTTTTTTTTGGGGGGGGGGGGGGGGTGTTCTTCAGCAAACAGTCGGCTGGGGTTCAGCCTCTCATTGGGGTCCCCCAGTGCCCTCTTGGGACCCGAGAATGAGCACTGAAGCCTCGCACAACGTGGGAGCTTGCTCCTCAACCTGGGCCTCCATCACGTGAGGGTTAGGGTTTAGGGTTTAGGGTTCAGGGTTTAGGGTCTAGGGTTCAGGGTTTAGGGTTTCGGGCTAGGGTTTAGGGTTGAGGGTGGCAGCCCCCGAACCCTGAAATCTAAACCCGGCGTTCTGGATGGAGGCCTGGAGGTCTCGAGGGGCCTTCCACATGATGCGAGGCCACGCACTCAAAGGATCTCACAAAAGGCTTCAAGCCGAAAAAACAACCTACACCCTAAACCCTAAACCCTAAACCCTAAACCCTAACCCTAAACCCTACACTCTAAACCTTAAGGTTTTCGGGGTTGATTGCTAAGCGCAGGGCTCCGAACCGCCCCCCCCCCCCCCCCAAAACAAAACCAAAAAGCCATAAAACCAAACAACCAAAAAACCAAAAAACAAAAAAACCAAAAAAACAAAAAACCCCAAAACCCCAAAACCCCAAAAACCCCAAAAACCCCAAAAACCCCAAAAACCCCAAACCAAACCCAAAACCCCAAGACCCCAAGACCCCAAAACCCCAAAACCCCAAAACCCCAAAACCCCAAAACCCCAAAACCCCAAAACCCCAAAACCCCAAAACCCCAACACCCCAACACCCCAACACCCCAACACCCCAACACCCCAACACCCCAAACCCCAAAACCCCAAAACCCCAAAACCCCAAGACCCCAAAACCCCAAAACCCCAAAACCCCAAAACACCAAAACCCCAAAACCCCAAAACCCCCCCAACACCCCAACACCCCAACACCCCAACACCCCAACACCCCAACACCCCAAACCCCAAAACCCCAAAACCCCAAAACCCCAAAACCCCAAAACCCCAAAACCCCAAAACCCCAAAACCCAAAACCCCAAAACCACAAAACAACAAAACCCCAAAACCCTAAACCCTAAATCCTGAGAGCTGAAGCCTTGAAATAAACCCTAAACCCTAAACCCTAAACCCTCAACCCTGAACCCTGAACCCTAAACCCTAAGCCCTGAAAGCTGAAGCCTTGAAACAGCGAAGGTCTTGGCAAAGAGCTTGCTGCTGCTGATAAAATGTGACTTGAAGTCAATCTGCTGCTGATAAAATGTGACTTCCAGAGAATCTCTGGCCCGTGGCATATGTATGTGTGTGCGCGTGTGTATACATAAAAAAATAAATAAGTATATATATATATACATATATATATGTATATATATACTATATATAGATATATATACATGATCCGAAAAATGCCGATCCATATACAACATCCCATGGGCCAATCAAGTGCTGTATGTGCATTCACGTGGCTCTCTGGAACCACATTGGCGAATCCGGCTGCTCCGCTGTCCAAAGAGCACGTTGGGTCTGATCGTTGAAACTAGGATTCAGGGTTGCGGCCCCCATCCTAAACGTTCATGCGTTCGGACTTAAATGAACGGACCTTCGTGGCTCTCTGGGCAAGCGCGCTGACTTGGACCCAAGAATCAAAAAGAAACGCCTGTGAAACCCCACAACAGAATTCGTGCCGCCTCACAGCAGCCAGGTTGTTACTGTTTCCTGAGGGATCCGATGGACCTCTGGATGAGAACCCTGATCCTGCGCCTCCGACAAGTAAAGGGGACCCCCAGCTGTCGACCTGAGTTGCTAAGTTCATAAAGCCGCCCAAAATCGGGGATCCTAGTATCCCAAAAGTTTAGGGTTTAGGGTTTGGGGCTAAAGTGTACTCATTCAGCTACCAAGAGACTCATCCTGACCTGTGGCGACTTCGACCTCCACAGCTGCGGCAGCCTCACGCCTGAACCAGAGCACCTCCCCGTGCATTGATCTCGCACGACTGCGAGTCGCTGATGTCGAAGCTTCGACATGAGGGACCTTCAAGCTGTTGCGCTCCGGAAATCTCAAGTCCGAGGACTTCTCCCAAAACTGCCTTGCCAGGGCCGCAGTACGAAAGCTGATGAAGCAATAGCCGAGAGTGCAAGGAGTCCGGCCCTGCTTCACGGGAAGATGCAAGTAAAGAAGGTCGCTTTCTGTGAAGCCCAGTGCGCGCACTGCCGACAGAACTTCCTGAGACCGGATCCGACAGGGAATATTCTTGACCGTGACGGTGTCCGCCGACCCAGGCCAATCCTGCCCGGAAAATGCTGGTTCAGGTTCGGGACGCGGAACCCCCCAAACCTGCAGGTTGGCGCTCAAGCTTGTCAGCCGTTGATGACGCGAGGCTACGGACGTAGCCGAACCTTTCTCAAACATCGAGCTCAGGACGTGAAGCTCCCGAAGAGCCACCTTTGATGCAACGACAAACGCAGAGCCTCGACCACAGGCTCAGGTGGCGGAAAACAACTTTAAGGCTAGGGATTTAAGGTTTGAGGTGCAGGGTGTTGGGGTGTTGGGGGGCCTTCAAGTGTTCGTTGGTGGCCACTGCCCTAACTTCCCACCAAGAGCCAGTCAGTTCTGCTCGGCCTTTTGGGCCATCAAGGCTTCAACATGACATAAATTTGAGGGTTGAAGGGTTTAGGGCGTCGGCTTTAGTGTGTGAACGCAGGCCTCTATATGCTTACTAGTCTACTAGTTCTTACTAGGGAATAAAGGAATTAGATACCACAGATCATTTGTTAAGAGATTCTGCTTATAACTTGAATGGCATGTCTCTTTGGGTGCCTTATTGATTCTAATAATTCTACGCACAGTTTGTAGAACAAAGAGATTGGTACCCCCTTCCGAAGTGTCTTGCTCAAGTTAGGGTCTAGGGTTCAGGGTTTAAGACGCAAGGTCGTGGTGTTTAAGTACACTTCACGACTTGTGCTAGGGTTTTCAGGCCGGAAGGTAATGAGGCCTGTAGAAGCATGGGGCATAGGCCGCTTGTGGACATTCTGATCCCAGCTTTGGCCCCCATTCCTTTTCTGCAGGCGCACTGCTGCCGTCGCGTGCATAGACTGGAATGACCGTCTGTGCCGACACAGCCGCCTGAGGGTGCAAGGTGAGCTTATTCTACTAGTTACTTCAGAACCCCCCCCCCTAAAAAATGACAAAACAAAAACAAATACATATATATATATATGTACATGTATAAACAAAGGAATATTCTTCCTTCTAAGCGGAATCTAGAGGATGACTATTATCTTCCTGTCTTTGCGGGGTCTTAAGCAAATGGTAGTATTCAGGGCCCAGATTCTGAGCCAAAAAGCAGGCCGTTTGAGGGTCTCGAGGTTTGCATGTTCCTGATCTCAGCTTTGGAATTCCGCGCAGCTTTCGCTCTCTAGGTTTTAGGGTTTTAGGGTTTTAGGGCTTATGGCTTAGGGTAACCCCCAAAACTCTGAAGCAGAGGACAGCTCAGATTCTGACCTTGCAGACAGGACAGCTGCTGCGGCCGTCGCTGGGCTGCAGGCTTCCGAAGGTAGACCTTCTTCAGGCTCCCTCTCTTAGGGTAGTTTCTTGGCCCCCTTCATATGGGCCCTCAAAAAGGGGACCCCATACAAAGGGGGTATGAGGACCTAGAAATGACCCCTCTGGAATGCCTCTAGAAACCTTATATCGTCCCTATATACCTAAGTAGCCACTAAATGGACCCTAAATAACCCCTGAGGTCCCTCATAAGCGTCCTTAGTTGATTAACCGTTTTTACCCCTTATGTACCCTATACAAATCAAGGGCCCCCACTGCGGAACCCTTCAAAGGAGGTAAGGGAACAAATTCAAGGGCCATAGAACTTCCCTTAGACCCTCAAAGCCCGACTTGGAAGCTCTCTTAACTTCGTAAGTCTACTTAGCATCCTTTTACACTCCCCACAACCCACGTTACTAAACCTAAACCCTAACCCTAAACCCTAAACCCTAACCCTAAACCCTAAACCCTAAACCCTAAACCCTAAACCCTGGTAAGTCAAAAAGGGCTTTCAAGCACAGCCTCTGGCCGAGGAGTTGGGAGTTGCCCATGGAGCTTGGTGGCCCCAGGGCCCCTATGTTTAGGGTTTAGGGTTTAGGGTTTAGGGTTTAGGGTTTAGGGTTGTCCCATGTAAGCCAGTCTAGGTTGGCCCTCAAAGCCCTCTGAGCGCGGTTTCGGGTTCAGGGTTCAGGGTTCAGGGTTCAGGGTTCAGGGTTCAGGGTTCAGGGTTTAGGGTCTAGGGTTCAGCTGCCAGCCTGCTCGCCTTATCTCGCTCAATTGCAACGAACTTAGACCAGGTCATGATCGCAATGCTCAGCGAGAGTGTTTCAGGATTAGGGTTTAGGGTTTTGGGCTTGGGGTTTTTGGCTTAGCCCCAAAGCCCAAACCCTTAACAGCCCTCGAAATGGTGGTGGCTGTGGGGTTCTGCTACCTCTCTTGCAGCATGTTATGCACTGCTTATAGCCTGCGGTACCGCAAATGGCCCCTCATTTAGATCAAATCCCCAAAAAACACACACCCAAGCCCCCAAGCCATCAAACCAATAACCATTGCATAACAAATAAATCATAATCATAATTGTAATACATAACACCAAATATAACAATACGACTACTACTCACAACAACAATAGTGGTAATACTAGCACTACTCACAACAATAATAAGAGTAAATACTAGCAGTAAAAAAAAAACTAATGTAAATTCCAATGCACCCTATACAACCCCCGACTCCTGGCAGGCCTCCTGGGTGCCGACAGCCACAGATGCAGGCACTTCCAGCAGAACCTCTTCGCGACGGAGGATGGGCTCTGGGTTGAGGGTTTAGGCCTACGAGAGCCCGTAGGCTGCATGCCCCTGAACTAAACCCTAAACCCTAAACCCTAAACCCTAAACCCTAAACCCTAAACCCTAAACCTTAAATCAGGCTATGTGGCTCAGGGTTCCTGGCGAAGCTTAGGAGCTGAGGAGCAGCACCCCCTGCTCAAGCTCACATGCGAAGACAAGGTTTGTGTCCCTTGGGTCTTGGACCCTCATAACCTTTCGGACTACGGGGGTGAGGCAGGAGGGGGGAGCCAGCTTGGGCTCAACATCTTGCTGCCTGGGTGTTGACACATCGCCGCATCGCCATTTAACGACCATGATACGCTAGTGTAGCCTCTATTCCAGCAATCCAGCATTCCTACGTGTAACATGGTCTGCTTTTCGCCTAACAAGAAGGGCGGAAACCTTAAACTCTAAATTCGCCAGAGGGGTTTTAAGTTGTAAGTTGTAAGTGTTTAAACTCAGGGTGCAAAGCCCTCCACAAGCCCCAAACCTGGGTAAGGGTTGAGTCGATAAGCTGGTAATGCGTATGCTCCCAAACATAGGGGTCCACACCTCAGGTCCTTCTTTTCTTGGGGGGGGGGGGAAATGGGGGGGGGGGTTGAGATCCCCAAAAAAAGGCCGGAGCTGAAACTTAGGGGCGTGCAGATGGCCGCAGCGTGTTACGACAGGCTCGGACGCAGTCTCGAAGCAGATGTTGCACTCGAACATGGCCGCGCCGCGATCTCCTAAATTCCTTAAGCCTTAACAGGCCAAAAAGCCTAAGCAGCAGACCTTAAGAGTGTCGCAAACACCAAAAGCAAATCCCGAACTGCACATTGTGGCCTGAGATTTGGAGGATGCTGTGGTTTTTTGAATGCTGGCGGTGCATGTGGCTGGGGTTATACTGCGCCGGCACCTGCATGCCCAGGCTATGAGGCTCTTAGCCTGGATTCTGCAAGTTCATCGTAGTCGCTGCCGCCGAAGTGGGCCAATGCTTCCATTAAGGGGGTATTGCCAATGAGCTCTCTGGGTTTGTGCCTTCCTCTAACATGCTGGGCGGAGAGCCCTTGAGACGGAACCTCACAAGCTGCTTGCTCGCAATGGGGCAATAGTAGCGTTTGGGGTTTGGGGTTTGGGGTTTAGGGTTTGCACAGGATGTTGCAGCCCCAATGAGCCCTTCACAAACTCAGACTGTCGGGGCGGTATCTTGATTGGATAGCTAATTTGGCCATGGTGATGAATGGTGCAGGTTATAAAAGCACACGCATATAATATATTTATATATATATATATGTATATATATATATGGTACCCCCCCCCCAGTGACCTACCCTTTTTCGCCTTGTCTTAAGTCAGCCAGCTGCACTGCAAGCAAACTCGGTGTGCAATATAGCGTGTTGCTTAGGGCGTAGACTAAAATGAAACTAAATCCGAATACACGGGCAATTAAAAACCAAAAGCACCAAACCAAAAAAAAAAAAAAACAAAAAAACCCCAAAAAATTCCGGAACTCTCAGGAATCCCTACGAAGCTTCTTCAAGAGTTCCGGAAAATTGTGTTTTTTGTTTCTTTTTTTGGTTTTGTGGTTTTGGTATGTTTTTTTGGTTCGCCTTTTCGTGGCAATAACTACGCATTTTAAGTGTGTTTTTGTACTTGCGAATTTGCTTGTGCATGGCCTTCACTAAGTACTTTTCTAGGAAGATTGCTTGTGCATTTTTTAGCTTGCTTCTGCAAATTGTGCCTTTCGGACATAGTATATAAGTGGTCTCAATGAAATACTTCAGAAACAAAGATTTCATTGTTATGCAAGTAGAATCGCTTTTATTGCTGTTAGTGTTTATTTCGTATTTTGGTTGAGTACGATCCTTTAAATAGTAGTCACTTGAGTCAAATTGGGCGCTATTTCATGAATATGTAAACATAAGATATTTCAGTGGAGTTTTCAGATAGTCTTTGATTAATACTTTGCCTAGCACACATTCTTCTCATGTACAAAGCAGCATTCTTGTGCATGGCCTTTACTAGCTATATTTCTAGGAAGGTATATAAGTGGTCTTTATTTAGTACTTGAGAAGTCTTTTACATTGTTATGTAAGTAGAACCGCTTCTATTTCCATTCGTGTTTATTGCATGTTTTAGTTGGGTATGGTATTTTGAATAGTGCTCTATTTCCATTAGTTTTTATTTCACATTTTGGTTGGGTATTAGTTGGTGATTTGAGTCAGATTGGGCTATTTACTCAATACTTACTCTAGTAGATAAATCGCATAGAATGATGATTTCAACCCAAGAAATATTTCATGAATATGTAACCATAAGTTATTACAGTGTACTTTTCAGATAGTATTTGGTTTATACTTTGCCTAGTACAAATTCTTTTTATGTACAAAGCTATGGCCTTTACTAACTACTTTGCTAGGAAGGTATATAAGTGGTCTTTATTTGGTAGTTGAGAAGTCTTTTACATTGTTATTTAAGTAGAATCGCTTCCGTTGCCGTTCGTGTTTATTTCATATGTTAGTTGAGTATGGTATTTTGAATAGTATTCGCTTGAGTCACATTGGGCTATTTACTCAATACTCCAGGAGTTAAATTCGCATACAATAATAAGCACAATGTTTCATGAATATGTAAACATAAGGTATTTCAGTGGACTTGTCAGATAGTATTTGATTGGTTCTTTGCCTAGTACAAACACAATTGTATACATGAAAAATATATAGGTTGCTCAACAAAACATTATTTGCCCGTTAAACGCACAATTTGCCTAGAAAAAACCAAAGATCTAAAAACCTAAAAAAAGCATTGTCCGCTTCAGATTCAAAATATAGATTAATCCAATGCTGGCTTATCGGGGCCTGTGAGGTGGGTGTCCCAATAGATGTCCTTCATTACCCGGTGATTAACTACGCCACTTTTGGGCCTTCGTTATTCTCTCTTTGTAAAAAAGGCCTAAAAAGGGCAGGTCGCTGAAGGGGGGGTACATATATATATATATATATGAGGCCGGCACCTTTCGGGGTTATGCGTCTATTGCTTCTTACTAGCTCTTGTGGAGTAAATTACGCATAGGGTTTTTTATAGACACATAATGTATAATTTTAAATCCAGAAGTTACTGGACCTAGTTTCTCATTGCTTTATAGCTCATTCTACTTAGGTTTTCGGCTCTAGGGTTTACGGTTTAGGGTTCAGGGTTTAGAGTTTATGGTTCAGGGCTTAGGGTTTTGGTTTAAGGTTGAGTGTTGTAGGGTTTAGGGATGGTTTAGGTCTTAATGTTTGTTGAAGCGGTCGCAGGCTCTAGGATTTGATCGTTCAACAATTTACGGTTCATGGACAGATACAATGGGTTGCAAAAGGCTTTGGGCCTGACATCCCTAAACCCTGAACCCCGAAAGGTCTAGGGTCTTTTGGGTTTTTGTGTTTTTTAGAGCTGTTATGGCTTGGGGTTTTTTGGGGCTTAAGGGTCTTTAGGGCTGATGTGTCATGGACCTTTACGTATAAAGTGGGAACCCCTTTTTGTCAGGCTTAAAACTTGTCTGTGCAAGTAGTTAAAACACAGACTAAGCCGAAAATCAAACCTGTCGTAAATTGCTCATTGTCCCTTGAACACAAAACCAAATGTAAACATTAACTTCTGAAACACGGAAAAGACCTTAGAAAGACATTCTCAACCAAAAACACAAGTTTTACTCTGCCTTACAAACACTTCAATCCAAAGTCCAAACCAAAGTAAACACAACTTGTGTCGCCCTGAAGTTTAAGACACGCTACGAATCAAACATTGAATCTTGCCTGCGCAGACAGTCGTAAACAAAAATACGAAATAAAAGGTGAGCACGAAAACCTGCCCTTACAAAACACATAAGTAGTACGTGACATATATTTATGTGTCAGTGTATATATATATATATATATGACATATGGTTGAAATTTTCAAGACATATCGCTCAAAGCACTTGTTGTACAAGCTGGCACAAAGTGGGCGAGGCTGCTGGTCAATCAAGGGTAACTATATAACAAATACAAAAAAACAGGAGTTCTTTCAATTCCTATGAGAAGATAGAGGAGCTATTTCATCTCCTGCTCAGAGATCGAAGAACTCGCGTTTTAATCTCCCGACACTAGGTAGGGGAGCTCACATTTTTACCATCTCCTATCTTCTGTCTCAGTCTCGCAATTGGTCATGAGAGACCTCCTCTAGCTTTGCGCCGGAAAGAGAGAGAGTTCTCTACTATGTCCATTACATACGGAAATCACGCGCCGACTCTCACACTGGCACAAGGTGGGCGAGGCTGCTGGTCAATCAAGTGTAACCTTTTCACAAATACAAAAACCAAGGTTCTTTCATTTCCTATGAGAATATAGAAGAGCTATTTCATCTCCTACTCAGAGATAGAAGAACTCTTTCGCAAACGAATAAGAGCGCTTTAATATCCCGACACGAGGTAGGGGAGCCCACATCTCAACCGTCTCCTATCTTCCATCTCAGTCTCGCAATAGGTCATGAAAGACCTCCCAAACACAACTTGTGGTGCCCTGAAGTTTAAAACACGCTATGAATGAAACATTGAATCTTGCCTGCGCAGACACTCGTAAACAAAAACCCGAAAGAAAAGGTGGGCGCGAAAACCTGCCCTTACAAAACACATAATTAGTATGTGACATATATTTGTATATCAGTGTATACATATATACATATATATATAAATGTGGCAAAGACCTTTAGGGTTTATTTGGTGATAGGGTGGAACAAAGAGGCGGCCAATTAGCTGCTGAGCACTCGCAGATCGCAGCGCAGGTTGGGTCTACGTCTATGTATGTCACAGACATGTATGACTACCGATTTGTACTCTAGCATGTCTTCCGCAAGATGTTTCGATTGCTTCTCTCAGCCTTGTTTTCTCATCCCGCTTGTTTTCCTTCATGTGATATTTGCCTTTCTCCCTCACTCGCCGTCCTTTCTTTCCTTTCCCCCCTTCTCGCCCCCATCCCTCCTCCCTTTCCTCCTCTCGCTTCCTTTTTTCTTAGAATCCGAAAATGGCCCAGGGAGAACAATAGTCAGAGAATAAACCAAGGAAGAGAGAGAGAGAGAGAGAGAGAGAGAGATGAACAAAAGAGGTCCTTCCTCCTCTTCGTTGGCACGCTCTCTCGTTTTCTCTGTTTCTCCATCTCTTGCTCTTTCAAGACCCTTTCCACCCCTTTCGAAGAAGAACAACAATGACAAAAGAAAACACGACAGGGAATGCAAGAGGTTGAGGGAAATGAGAAGGAGCAAGGAGAACTAACTCCTCCTCCTCTCTTGTCTCTTGTCATTGCCTTCATTGTCCTTTCTTACGCTTGACTTTCTTCAAGTGTCCATTGAAGTGGCCAACTCAAAAGTAAGGGAAGGAAGAAGAGGAAAGGAACACGGGATGGGGACAAGAGAAGGAAGATGAAAATGTGGGGACATTGCTTGCGGTTGACTATTTGCAGATCAAAAGAGGAGACACATGGAGAAACATAAAAGAGAAGCAAGAAAGTAAAGGTCAAGAATAGGAAAGAAAAACAGCGAGACAGAGAGAGAGAGAGAGAGAGAGAGAGAGAGAGCGAAAGAAAGAAGGAAAGAAAGAAAGATCAAATAAACACAGAAAGAAAGGAGATGAAAGAAGGAAGAAAAAACAAAAAAAGAAAGAGAGAGAGGGAGAGTGAGAGAGAGAAAAAGATAGAGCGAGAAAGAGAGAAGAAAGA